TTATTTAGGGTTAATTTTTTTACGCATAAAATTTGTATTATTTAGGTCTATAAATTTAATTTTATATTTATGCTTTAATAATTTAGTAATATTATTTAATGTTAATATTTGATACATAAATGCTTAGGTCATATAAATGTGTTAGGTATAATTTTTTAATGTTATTATTTACTTAATAAAATAAATTTTATTATTTAATATTAATTTAAAAAACTACTATATAATTTAATATTTACGCGTAAAAGATTAGGTCAATTTTATTTAATTTTTGATTTATGATCAAATATTTTTTGATTATTATTTAATGTTGGTATTTTAAACCTATAATTAGTAAGTGTTTTAATTAATTTCACGCATAAATGATTAGGTCTAATTTATTTTGTTTTTTTGATTAGGCTTTAATAATTTTTTAATATTAGTTAGTGTTGATTTTTGAAACGTTAGGTTAGAAATTTGTTAATTTATTTAAAGCATAAACTTAAATTAGTTGTAAACTATTCAATTGTTTTTTTTGTATTTATTTAGGGTTTTATTAATGTATTTTTAGTTTTTGATTATAATTTGGGTTAATAATTTAAGTTATTAGTGTACTTAATTAGTACATTTATGTAAGTCATAAATAAATAGTTGTACCCCATTTCATTGTTGTGCATTATAATTGTGCAATTATATAATTTTGCATTCTGTCAGTTTAAATTATCGCTAATATGCTTATTTTATGCTTTTAAATAGATCTATGGAGCATGATGACGCAGCTTGTCCTGGGTCTCCACGCAGCGTGATTGACCCTGGGCCGGAGGTTCGTACTCTCCTGACTTTGCAGGACAAACATATTTTCACATATGTGTGGAACGCCTGTGACGATCCGAATGTCAATGATCGTGTGATTAATGTGCGCCATGCGGCGACCCATAATCACCTTGACATTCCCGAGGATATTCAGCCATGGCTGATGCAGGTTGGGTTATACCATGTTGCGCGATTACGACTGTTGTGCGATGATTTTCCATACAATATTGTTTAATTGCCATCTGTACATCTTGTTTGGAGACGAACAATTAGTCCTTATATAGCTCGTGGCCCATATGCTAGTTAGGTATTTGTGCTCCATGCATATCTTCCAATTCTTGATCTGGATATTCCCAATTAACATTCGTGAAATGGATGATTCCATCCCAAAATGGTACATTATCATTTCCTGCACAATAACATATCCAAAACCCCAAAATCATATAATTTGTTAATATGACATTACATAAACCACTAACACGATTATTAATGGTTACATACCTGCAACTGGAGGGTCTTGCATTCCAACAATGTCGGGCGAAGGAATTGGTTGACCAACTGCAGTAGACGGACAACAATCAAAATCACCATCCACATCTGTATCCGATGACTCGCTGTCCGGAATAAGACCTTCATCAAGCTCTTCCTCAGAACTATCCGTACGCCATGCTGGATCGTACATGTCGTGGACCGGCAATCTTTCATCAAACAATTTTGAGTTTGTGGTGCAAGCGCGGGGGACACGTCCTCATCTTCCGGATTAACCACTGCCACCATGTTTACGTCGATGCTGTGAGTGGATGGTGGAGAAAGTTGACTGCTTGATTGTCCACCATAGTTGACTTCTGCATAAAATTCAATAAATCTTGACTCACCGTGTTCTGAAGTGCTTGCATCTACTACTAACGTTACATCTTCATCTTCAACAATTTTCACGCCAACCCATTGCACGGGGTTACCAGAGGCACATCTAGCGGTCAATCGAGCAAGAGTTTGACCGCGTTGTAATCTCAACTTCTTGTATATTATCTTCTTAAGCTCATGAAGATTGCATGTTGGGCTCATGCGAAACATTTTTGCATCACCTTCAAAAACTTGCCCGTTTGGTCCAAAATATTTTCTCCCATTATAATAAACTATGGCGATTACATTATTCCTACCTTCATTCATCTTACAAAAGTAGAAAATAAACTAACATTCACAAAAACAACACAAAAGTAGTAATGTTGTATATAAAAGGAAAAATTTCGCACACAAAGTCCGCTCCTGAAATGGAAGTGTGGTCATTTATGGTAACAAACTTCGCTAGAGGTTGCACCATTTTATTGAACATAATTCGCTATGCCCCCTAGCGAATTACTAGGGAGCTGACACTTGTCTATTATTTGTCAGATCGGTCCCTAATTCGCTATGAATCATGGCAAAATAAGCACGTAATTCGCTAGGTAGTACAGCGAATTTTGGGGGTATTGACACGTGTCCTGACAATGACAGGACAAGACTGGCCATCTGACACAAAATTCGGTACTCAGTGTAGCGAATTATTGGTGTTGTGTCATGTGTCCAGCAACTGACTGACATGACTGACTCCTGGTCAACATAATTCGCTACACAGTGTAGCGAATTACTCCAGATTTGACACGTGGCATTCTTGCTGACTGGGCATTCTGAGTTGGCATATTTCGCTACGTAGTGTAGCGAATTATTTGCAAACATAATTCGCTACACTATGTAGCGAATTATCACGCGTGGTATTTTGAGAAATTTTACTGTTCGCGTGGCAGTCTGATAATTTTTTTGTCAAAGCGTGGCAAAATGGTCAGTGTCCCTATTTCTCTTTTATCATAAACACCTGTATTTACCTTAACTACATATTGATTAGAATGGCCTTGTAAATAATCTACTGTCATGTGTGGCCATGCTTTAAATACACTAGCGACAATTCTAAATGGTTGTCGAGAAATTTTTATGAATAATAGGGAAATGTGATGGATATGGAAATGGTTGGAATGTGAGTTTGGTAGGAAAATGTAAGAAAAGTTCTTTGGTTTGATAAAATTTTGATGGGGAAATTAGGTAACTTTTATGAAGTCTATGTTTGGGTGTAGGTAAAATATAGATGGGAAAAATAATTGATATTACAAAAATAACCCTGTATTTAAATTTTTTTCAATTGCTCATGCTGCCCTTAACCCGTTCGGGACAGTGTTTTTCATCCTCACATTGAACGAATACAAAATATATTTTGTTGAAGAGCAGAAAAAGTTACACCGCCATCACCCATGGTATAAAAAGGAGGACGCAGAACTCAAAGAAAAAAAAGGAGCAAGTTCTAAAGGAAAGCTGTGAAAAAATTATGCGAGTTAGAAAACAGAAAAAGAGACAGAAGAGATGCAAGAAGAAGACATACTGTTTGCCATTACTTAGAACTATCACTGAAAGACCATCCACTATTGTGCTTCATCGAAGCTCCCACATCATCTTGTCATCACCGTCGAGTGGGCTTTGCGCTATTAGAGGTTGGGTGGGTCTTTCACCAAGGAGTAACACCCTATTAAATCTGAATATACAAAGATTCAAGATACCTCTGCCTCTGCTAAGTCATTTGAATTCACGGGAATAATATGAGAAATAAAAATAGGAATTTGAGACGTTGAAACTTTTTGGCGGTTTGTGATTAGGATGCAGATTTTGCAGACATCTACGTATGCCACTTGCAGACAGCTACGAATACAAAATATACCGTGGTGCCAAGCTCCTTTCGCGCGCTTAAAGTGAGGATAAGCTCGTCTTTTGCATGGAATGGAGTATGACCAATTTAGGCTGCTTTTCATGAATACCATCTGCCATTGAGTTTCTTTAGCCGGCTAAATGGAGGGAGATACATATGCAACATGGTTTGATTGGAAACTCATTTAGGTAGGTAAGTTTGACAATTCCTTCAACCAAACTTGGTTAGCTTAGATGCCCATGAATCATTTCCCTATCAATCTCAACCAAATCCTTAAACCAAACACCCACTTATTATCTCCAAGATGAAACACTGTCAACTTTTAATATACACAGAGGGGAAGGGGGGGGGGGGGGGGGAGAGAGCATATCATTTTATATTGATATAAAAATAATAAATTCTATATTTAATATCAATCGTTAATTTATTTATATTGAATGATTTTCACTCATTAAATACATGATGCATTATAAAAATTGAAATTGTAAAGAACCAATTCAACCCAAAAACTTAAGCTATTGGGCGATGTTACATTAATGATTTTATATATTTCAACAGAAATTAATGACTAAAATTGAGGACGTATACTGTCTAAAATAATCTTACTATTATATTAAATTTATTCAATTACTTAAATAAAATTAAATACTTTTTATAGTTATTTTATATTGGATATTTCTTTTTATTTAGAAGTCCTTTCAATTTCTTAAAATTTAAAACAGTGCTCTAAAAGCTTTATTAATTTTTTATAACGGTGGTCCAAAAAATAGTTCTGGCTTTTCCTTACTTAATAAAATATAATAAGTAATGAAGATGCTGTATTTAGAACTTATTTGTCTTTACAATTTTTTAGAATACTTTTTTACTATTACATCAAAATTAAATTAATGGTTATAAAATATAACTAAATGAGGGGCGATTTTAATATGACGATACTGAAATAACTATAAACATAACCTATCTCATAAATAATTTTAATATAATAAGATCATGGGATAGAATCTTAATTATTTATGGATAAAATGTGAGAGAATCTTAATTATTTATGGACAAATCATGATAGATGATAGAGAAAGGTATTAAGAAAAAATTAAATTAAATTAAATTATGATCTGCACCTAATTAATAAGATCCTCCCACGTGACATTTTACGTATTAGAGAATTTATTCCCAAATATTGCATTTGCATTAAGGAAAAAAAAAACGCTGCCATGACGCGCCGTCAGATGGAGAAGAAATGCGATGGGCTTATCAGTTAACAGTTATGTAATTATTTTTGGAGATCTGTTTGTCCCTGTAAGCCCTTACCGTTAGTCTTTGTCCTCGTTACCGTTAACGGTGCTCCTCACCACCTTGTGGGCCCGCAATTAAAGCCTCCGAAACCAAACCACAATAAATAATTTTGCCCAAAACCACTTAAAATCGTTTCCCCAAACGGCCAAACCCAACAACACATACAAAGCTTCTCGGGCAGGCCACCGGCAACTTAGGGGGTTAACTTTTTAACTCTCTGCTCCGATTCAACTCAGCTTCTTCACTCCGAGTTCACTCTCCCAACTCCTTCCTCCTTCTCGCCCTTGATTTTACCCACATCCTATAGATCTGATCTCAACCGTTCGTGGCTATCAACGGCATCGCTGATGTCTCTGCTCGTGGTTTCTACGTCTTCAATCGGTAATTATAGTTTTATATCACATTTTAGTGAAAGTAAAACCTTCAGTAGTTGGTTTTTACATATTGCAAATAATGCAGGTGGGTTGAAAAAATTTCAATGCATGTTGCTGAGAAGGTTGCTTATATTATTATCATGTATGGTGTTTATGGTTGATTCTGGTATATATGATAAAACACTGGAAGCTCCTTCGTTATCTCCTACTTCACAGTTATCCATACCATTCACCAAAAGTAGGAACGAATTAGAACCTCCAATTTCCGGCTTCAAAAATATCGCACCTTTTCATTCTATCGCTGATGCAATTCCTTCTGCTCTGCCTCAACCACCAATGTCCCCTGTTGATTCCAGTAAGTCATTAAACTTTTTTTTTTTTGTTGATTGGAATATGATGTTGTAAATTGTTGCTTTGATGATATAGTTTGGTTATGTTATTCTGCCAGATTGTTGTAAACAAGACATGGTGTTGAAACGAGGCAGTGAGAGTTGCCAATGTGTTTATCCTATAAAGCTAGACCTTCTTCTTTTGAATGTCACTCAGAACTCTGAGTGGAGTGTTTTTCTTGATGAATTGGCTACCCAACTTGGGCTGCAGACTACCCAAATTCAACTCATCAACTTTTATTTACTCAGCTTGTCGACGTTGAATATTTCGATGGACCTCACTCCGCATAAAGGGATCGGTTTCTCTGCCCATGAAGCTGCTAAAATAAACTCTTCGCTTTTGCTGCATAAGGTTCAACTAGACCATCGATTCGTGGGTGACTACAAACTTCTCAATATAACCTGGTTTCAACCTCCACCTCCTTCTCAAGGTAAGTCCATACCCTTAAGCTTCTGAAATATGTTACTGTTTATCGTGATGAGTTGATGTTCTTGATAATTGAAACTAACAGTGAGATTATTATTGTATAGAAAACATAGAGCTAATGTTTATTTGCGCTTAGTATTGAAATCTCACTGTTTTGACAACTTCCACTTCATTGTTTTAATGAATTAATGTACATAAATTCCGTGTCCATTTGTTTTGTTTCATTGTTGCTGCGAAGTGGTGAGGAAAGCAAGAGAAAGATATGTTGATGATGTATGGTCTAATCTATTGTTTACTCATGGCTTTGATAGCTGTTATATTTAAATAATTCTTGATTCATTTTGTATTTTACCTTTAAACACAAAGCATATAATTTTGATGCTTATGAATGCCTTTATGTTAGTCTTCCTTGTTGCCACAATTTTTGTATAACACATTTAATGAGTTATATTCAATTTTATAGTAACGTTGTCCAATGCTCCTAGTTTCTTCATTTATAAAAGTACACAACTACACTTAGTTTGCCTAGACTTGTGAGTTGTAATCTAATATAGTACCAGATACTTTTATTTTATGTGGTTACTGAATTCAACCCTATGGAAGAGGAACAACAAACAAATGCCTCTTTGTGGGGCTTGATGGAAGTGTTAATGTAGAAAATCAGAATTCAAATTCAAATATTTTTCCGTTTTTATTTCCTATTAATTAGGAATAATTAAGATTAATTAGGATTGATTGTTTTTTTATTTCATATTAATTAGGATTAATTGTAATTGATTAGAATTAATTATGATTAGGTTTAGTGAGTCATAGCTGAGTCATTCTTATGATTGTGATTAGGTTTGGTGAGTCATAGCTTAGTCATGCTTAGCTATTTTTCCTTGTATAAATACTCCTCATTCCTCATGTAATTATTCAAATCAATATACTGAAAACCTTTTTCAATATGGTATCAGAGCTGGTTGGTCCTGAGAAAACTCAGCCACCACAACCACCGTCAAACCGGCGGCACAACGCCGGAAAACTCAACCTCCAACCATTATTAAGGTTATTTTCCCTTCCTACAAAGTCCCAAGAGCAAAGTAAGGCTACCAATCACTGTAAAAGGCAAAATCCCAGCTTTCCACCGCCGTCAGCCACCGTCAGCAGCCGTCGGAAATTTTTCCGGCGACATTTCCGACCAAGATCCGCACCATTCGAAACAGAAGGAGCCGATCTACAAGTTTCAAGAAGGACCATCGGATTCTGTTGAGCCACGCGCCCCCACGCGCTAGAGAAAGGACGGAGCGTCCGCCCTACGCGTTACCACACGCAGCCATGTTGATTGAAAGTAAATTTCCATCCAGCAATGTTGCTCAACAAGGTATAGCGTTCCATGTTGATAATAGTAGTCGATGGATTCTTGATTCAGGGGCTTCAGATCATATGACAGGTAATGCAATCTTATTTTGTTCTTATACCCCTTACTATCAACAATCACGAATAAGAACAGCAGATGGCAGCTTCTCTACTATTGCTGGAAAAGGATCCATTATACTTTCTGAACACATTACTTTGAACTCAGTCCTTCATGTTCCCTCTCTTACTTGTAACCTTATCTCTATTAGCAAACTTACGTCTGAGTTACATTGTGTTGCCAAGTTTTCTGTCAATGCTTGTGTTTTCCAGGAACAGGACTCGGGGCTGATGATTGGCGGTGCTAGAGAGGAAGAAGGACTTTATTATTTAGAAAAAGATTCTTGTGAAGGAAAAAATTTTGTGAACCACTCGGTATGTTTGTCTGATGATTGTAATGATGTTTTGTTGTGGCATCGTCGGTTAGGACACCCAAATTTCATTTATCTTCAGAAGTTGTTCCCAAGCTTATTTATCAATAAAAATCCCAGTTCTTTTTCTTGTGATATTTGTCAGCTTGCAAAACATTCTCGTGTTTCTTATCCTCCTAGAGTCCATCATGATTCTTCTCCATTTACCTTGATTCATAGTGATATATGGGGTCCAGCCCGTGAAAAAAATATCTCTGGTGCTCGTTGGTTTATAACTTTCATAGATGATCACTCTAGGGTATGTTGGGTATACCTTCTAAAGGATAAGTCTGACGCTGCATCTATTTTTAAAAACTTTCATGCTATGGTTCAAACTCAGTTCCAGACCTCTATCCAAATTCTTCGAACTGACAATGGTACTGAATATTTTAATTCTGTTCTTGGAAACTATCTCAGCCAGCATGGTATTCTTCATCAAAGTTCTTGTCCTAACACCCCTCAACAAAATGGGGTGGCTGAAAGAAAAAATAGACATCTCCTTGAAGTTGCTCGAGCTCTTATGTTTACCATGCATGTCCCTAAATATTTGTGGGGGGAAGCTGTCTTGACTGCAGCATACCTCATCAATCGGATGCCTTCTCGTGTCCTAAATTTTCAATCTCCTTTATCTTGTCTTACCCACACCTTTCCTTCTTTCCGGGCTCATTCTTCCCTTCCTCCCAAGTTGTTTGGCTGTGTGGCTTTTGTACATGTTCCTTCCCATCAAAGGTCCAAGCTCGATCCTAAGTCCATTAAATGTGTCTTCATAGGATATCCTCCTAACCAAAAGGGCTACAAGTGTTACTCATCTTCACTTCGTAAGATCTTTGTTTATATGGATGTCACATTTGATGAGAGACAATCTTTTTTTCCTTCGACTTCTCTTCAGGGGGAGTCTATTGGGGTTGATGAAGATAAGTCTTGGAAACCAAATGATTCTGTTGTTTTTCCTTTGCCGTTGGAGACAGGGGGAGTTGTTGTAAATAATAATTATTTAGTTATTATTTAGTCATTTATTTGTTGTATTGGGCCATGCCCATTAGGTCAAAATTAGGTCAAGTATTCTCTATAAATAGAGAACCCTTTGTACAGATTATTTACAATTGTATAATATATTAGAATACCCTTTTTCAAGTTGGTATCAGAGCTCTCGATCTGAGGACTTTGCTTCCGCACATATTATCTTCTTTTTTAACAAAACCCTAATTTCTTTGCCTCTTGCCGCCACCGGAAAAAATTTCCGAGGACCTTTTGAACCAAGGGGACCATTGTTGACCTTATTTTTCCTCCGATCTATCATTCTACGCACTGTTCCTCCGCCACAAACGACCGAAACACCTCCGACCGCCTCCAATCATATCTGTCTTCACCGTTTGGACCACTTTCCGGCGACTTTTCAACCTCGACCACCCACAGACAGGTGCGCGCTCACCGGACGACCACACCAGAAAAATCTCAGCTGGCGAAGCCCCTCCACGCGCTCTCACGCGCCGCCCCTTTCCCGGCGAGTGAATCCCACGCACAGATCCTTTCTCCGGCGCGTGCGGCCGTGTTTTTGGACCTGACCACCACCATTCTTCTCGTCTTCTTGTCTTCTGTCTGGATCTGTAATTATTTTTCTGATCAGAGGTCATTTGATATTCTGTTTGGTTGATTTTATCGCTGGTTGTTAACTTTTTTTGTTAAAGAATGGCCGAGCATGATAGTTCTTCGATCTTATCTGGTAAGAGCACACGTTCTATATCTCTTCTTGCTTCTTGCACTGATTTTAAAACCTCATGGATTTTGGATTTTGGTGCAACTGATCATATGGCTTGTCGTATTGAGTTGTTTTGTTCTTATCATCCTACTGTTGGTAGTCATACTATATCCGTAGCTGATGGATCCCATAAATCAGTTATTGGTTCTGGTAACATTCAAATTCAACCTTCCTTGTTTCTTAAAAATGTTCTTTATGTTCCTCAGCTTTCTACTAATCTTATCTCCACTCAAAAACTTACAACTGATTTGAATTGTTCTATCACATTTTTTCCTTCTCATTGTCTTATTCAGGATCTTACCACGAAGAAGATAATTGGAGTTGCTAATGAACAGGATGGGTTGTATCATCTCCTTCCAGACCATGCTAGCAAAAATCAGTTATTAATGACACGTCATCCTTCTACTGCAGAGTCTATGATTTGGCTCCATCACAAGCGTCTGGGGCATCCACCATTTAGTCTTTTGAAGTCTATGTTCCCCTCTCTGTTTCTCAATAAGTCGGTTGAGACCTTTCATTGTGATGTTTGTGAATTTGCAAAACACCATCGAGTGTCATTTCCTTCTAGCACTATTAAAAGCAGGGAACCTTTTTCTCTTATCCATTCTGATGTTTGGGGCCCTTCTAAAGTGCACAGTGTTTCAGGTGCAAGGTGGTTTGTTTCTTTTATTGACGACTGTACTCGGATAACATGGATATACTTGATGAAAGACAAGTCTGAAGTACCAAAGATATTTATTCGGTTTCATCACATGGTTGAGACTCAGTTTGGTAAGGGTATTAAAAGACTCAGATCTGATAATGGTACTGAGTACGTCAATCAACGCCTGTCACAATTCATTTCAGACAGAGGTATGATTCATGAGCTCACATGTGTTGATACCCCTCAACAAAACGGGGTTGCTGAAAGGAAAAATCGTCACCTTCTTGAAGTTGCTAGAGCTCTACTTTTCCAGACATCTGTTCCTAGTTCTTATTTGGGAGAAGCAGTATTAGCTGCAACTTTTTTGATCAACCGTTTACCTTCACGGGTCCTTAACAATATCAGTCCTATTCATTCCATGACTTCCTTCTTTCCTTCTGTTTCAATATTGCAGAGCCTTCCACCAAGAGTGTTTGGATGTGTTGCCTTTGTCCATGTTCATAAACAACATCGGAGTAAGTTGGATCCTAGGGCTCTTAAGTGTGTCTTCCTTGGTTATAACCCTTATAAAAAAGGGTACAAGTGTTATCATCCACCAAGTCGGAAATTTTTTGTTTCTATGGATGTCACCTTTCAAGAATCTGAATCTTATTTCCTGGGTCCTCATCGTCAGGTGGAGAACAGTTCTTCAGAAGACTCGTCCCCTTCCTTCTTTGAGTCTGGATCAATCTTCTCTCTTCCTAGTGTGTCTGCTCCTGGTGTGTCAGAACCTTCAAATACACCTGAGATACAACCCATACTGTCTCACCAGCAACCTCAATCGTCTGAACCACTGATAAGTCCTGAATCTCCTATTTCTTCTGAGTCTCCTGAATCTCCTGTTTCTGATTCTAATATTATTTCCTCTCATGATTTGTCTATTTCTTCTGATATCTCTAATGACTTACCCATTGCTTCTACTTCTGATGACTTACCTATTGCTCTTAGAAAAGGAAAAAGATTTTGTCACAAGAAAACTTGTTCATCCTGTCCCTCTTGTACTCAATACCCTATCTCCCACTCTGTTTCCTCTGCTAATCTTTCTGTGCAGCACAAAAGCTTTGTTTCAGCACTAGATTCTATTGCAATCCCAAAATCAGTACATGAAGCCTTGAAAGATAGGAATTGGGCTCAAGCCATGCAAGAGGAGATGAATGCTTTGGAGAAAAATAAAACATGGGAGGTTATTGATAGACCCAACGGAAAGAAAGCAGTAGGGTGCAGATGGGTTTATGCCCTGAAATATAATTCTGATGGCACTCTTGAGAGATATAAGGCTCGATTAGTGGCCAAAGGTTACACTCAAACCTATGGCATTGATTATGAAGAAACCTTTGCTCCAGTTGCAAAGATGAATACAGTGAGAATCTTGTTATCCCTTGCTGCCCATTACAATTGGGATATAAATCAATTGGATGTGAAAAATGCTTTCCTCAATGGTGAGTTAGAAGAAAAAGTCTACATGGAAATCCCGCCTGGTTTTGATTCTGTGAAGGGGGAAAATAAAGTTTGTAGATTGAAAAAGGGCTTGTATGGATTGAAGCAGTCACCTTGTGCTTGGTTTGGAAGATTTACTAAGGTTATGATGACCTTAGGATACAGACAGAGCCAAAGAGATCACACCCTTTTCTTCAAGCACTCCCAAAATGGGAAGCTTACTGTGCTCCTTGTATATGTTGATGATATTATTATCACAGGTGATGATTTTGTGGAGAGACAGATTCTGCAAACACGGCTTGCCTCTGAGTTTGAAATCAAAGACCTTGGGAAACTGAGATATTTCCTAGGGATAGAAGTAGTTCATTCAAGCAAATGAATTTTTATCAGCCAGAGGAAATATGTTCTTGATCTTCTCAAAGAAGCAGGAAAGCTCGGGTGTAAACCCTCTAATACTCCTATTGAGCAGAATCACAAGATGGGCTATGAAGAAGAGAGTCCTCCAGTTGATAAAGGACAATATCAACGGCTAGTTGGGAAATTGATATATCTGGCCCATACTAGACCAGACCTAGCTTATGCTGTTAGTGTTGTCAGTCAGTTTATGCACGATCCAAAAGAAAAACACATGCAGGCAGTAGAGAGAATTCCTCAGTATCTTAAAGGTACTCCTGGTAAAGGATTGTTATTCCGACGTGATGGCAATCTATCTTTAGAAGTCTACACAGATGCTGATTATGCTGGATCCGTGACTGACCGTCGTTCTACCACTGGTTAGTGCATGTTTCTTTGCGGTAACTTGGTGACATGGAGAAGTAAGAAACAAGATGTGGTTGCCAGATCAAGTGCAGAAGCTGAATTTCGAGCTATGGCTCAAGGCATTTGTGAGTTACTGTGGCTGAAAATTGTACTTGATGATCTCAAAATAAAATGTGAGGGACCTATGAAGCTGCTATGTGATAATAAGTCCGCTATTTGTATAGCTCATAATCCAGTTCAACATGATCGGACTAAACATATTGAGGTTGACCGCCATTTCATCAAAGAGAAACTTGATAGCGGGTTGATTACCACTCCATACATTCCCACTGGGCGTCAATTAGTTGATCTATTAACAAAGGGGCTTCCTTCAGACAGATTTCAAGAACTTACTAGCAAGCTGGGAATGATAAATATCTATTCCTCAGCTTGAGGGGGAGTGTTGTAAATAATAATTATTTAGTTATTATTTAGTTATTATTTAGTCATTTATTTGTTGTATTGGGCCAAGCCCATTAGGTCAAAATTAGGTCAAGTATTCTCTATAAATAGAGAACCCTTTGTACAGATTATTTACAATTCTATAATATATTAGAATACCCTTTTTCAAGTGGAGTCATTATGAAAAAGACAGGGGGAGTTAATGTGTCAGATAATGGAGATCCTCCCGGGAAATGAGGAAAGTTTTACAGCAGGCGAGAATCACCTCAGGAGCCTCTAGACTGCCAGGATTCTGACTCGAGTCTTAGTTCCAGCAACACTGATACAGCCAACCTAGATGTGCCTATTGCTCTCCGAAAAGGTACTAGATCTTGTATTGCTCATCCTATTTCTCATCATATCACTTATGAAAAGTTGTCCCCAGGTTTTCGTGCTTTCAACACTATGTTAGACAGTACAAAAATACCAAAAAATATCCAAGAAGCACTTGATGATCCAAAATGGAGGAATGCAGTCTTTGAAGAAATGGATGCACTCAACAAAAATGGAACCTGGGAGTCTGTAGCATTACCCAGAGGAAAGAAAACAGTAGATTGCAAGTGGGTGTTCACAATAAAGTTTAATGCAGATAACAGCATCAACAAGTATAAGGCCAGACTGGTTGCTAAGGGATTCACTCAAACTCATGGGATAGACTATCAAGAGACATTTTCCCCTGTTGCCAAGCTTAACACTATCCGAGTTCTTTTATCACTTGCTGCAAATCTTGGTTGGCCCTTGCAACAATTAGATGTAAAGAATGCTTTCTTAAATGGTGATCTACATGAAGAAGTTTATATGGATCCACCACTTGGTTTTGAAAAAGGAGACGATTCAATATGCAAGTTGAAAAAGTCTCTCTATGGTCTTAAACAATCTCCTAGAGAGTGGTTTGAGAAGTTTACTCAAGCTGTTAAGGGAAGAGGATTCCTCCAAGCTCAGACTGAGCACACTTTATTTTTAAAACACTCTAATGGTGGTAAAATTGCTATTCTCATTGTTTATGTTGATGACATAATTGTCACAGGTAATGATTGTGAGGAGATAAGCTCTTTGAAGAAATGTTTAGCTAATCAGTTTGAACTGAAGGATCTTGGATCTCTCAAATATTTCCTAGGCATGGAAGTTGCTCGAAGTAAGGCAGGAATTTCTTTAACTCAAAAGAAATATATTCTAGACCTGTTACAAGAAACAGGAATGCTTGGGTGCAAGCTAGCAGAGACTCCAGTTGAACCCAATATTAAATTGGGGATCGAAGATGGGAAAGAAGTTGACAAAGAGCAGTATCAGAGATTGGTGGGGAAGTTGATCTACTTATCTCACACTCGGCCTGATATTGCATTTGCAGTTAGCATGGTTAGTCAATTCATGCATTCTCCTAAGGAAAAACACCTGAGTGCAGTTTATAGAATTCTGAAGTACCTCAAAAAAAACCCCTGGACGAGGATTGTTCTTTAAAAGGGGACACAAGAGGATGATTGAAATATATACAGATGCAGATTGGGCTGGCTCTGCATTGGACCGAAGATCCACTTCAGGATATTGCACCTATATTTGCGGAAATCTTGTGACCTGGAGAAGTAAGAAACAAACAGTTGTTGCCCGGAGCAGTGCAGAAGCAAAATTTCGGGCTCTAGCCCATGGTATTTGTGAAGGAATTTGGTTAAGAAGACTCCTTGAGGAATTGAAGATCTCTTTTTCCCTACCTGTCAGAGTGTATTGTGATAATAAGGCTGCTGTCAGTATTGCTCAAAATCCAGTTCACCATGACAGAACAAAACATGTGGAGGTTGATCGCCACTTTATCAAAGAAAAAATAGATGATGGAAGTGTATGTATGGTGTATATTCCTACCAAAGAGCAGATTGCAGATATTCTCACTAAGGGCCTACACCGGCCAGCCTTTGAAGACTTGATTGGCAAGTTGGGAATGATCAACATTTACCTCCCAACTTGAGGGGGAGTGTCGAAAATCAGAATTCAAATTCAAATATTTTTCCGTTTTTATTTCCTATTAATTAGGAATAATTAAGATTAATTAGGATTGATTGTTTTTTTATTTCCTATTAATTAGGATTAATTGTAATTGATTAGAATTAATTGTGATTAGGTTTAGTGAGTCATAGCTGAGTCATTCTTATGATTGTGATTAGGTTTGGTGAGTCATAGCTTAGTCATGCTTAGCTATTTTTTCTTGTGTAAATACTCCTCATTCCTCATGTAATTATTCAAATCAATATACTGAAAACCTTTTTCAATAGTTAAGAATGAATATCATGCATTTCATGTATTATAACATATCTTTGTATTCTAATGCAGCTCCTACTTTTGCCGCATCACCTCTGAAAGCTCCTCAGAAACAAGCACCTCCAGCTACAGTAAGTACTTCATCAGACCGGGACAGCCATTCAAATTTGCTCCTTGTTCTTGGAATTGTCACTGGCATACTACTCATTTCCATTGTATGTGTGCTTACACTTTGGTTATGCACATTGCGGTCAAAAACAAAAACACCTCCCACAGAAACTGGTAAGTATTCTACTTCTAACACCTATTATTTTTATTTTATGCATTCCTATAACAACCTACTAATGATGAAAACAGCTACCGATTATGTTTTATCCCCTTTTTTTTCATTTGGGTATTATAAAGGCAATAAGTATAACCATTAGATTGAGGCAAATTGGGTTCCCTTCAACAATAAACTACTCCATGGCACAAAGGAAAAGTGCTGGGAGGGGGAGGAGGTAGAGAGAGATAGAGTTCTCTGGACTGAAGCAAATTATTTGCAATTGTTTAGCACAAGTATTTTGAGGGCAGTTTATTAACTGCTTGAGAATTTTTTTATTGGATTTCAATATGGACATGTACTAATGTATTGTGAATCGTGATCCTTGATCATGAAACTTGATTTAGTACAATTTCATCTACAGAATCTGGAGTAAAAAATTGATTTTGTTGGTGCAATGAAAGGTTGTCCGTTTTGACATAATTATAAATCTTTTTGGAGGAAAATAGCAAAGGCCTTTTTTACCATGTTTCTGGATTTCAACTTAGCTTGATTTGACTTTTTCAGCAATTAAAAGGCTCTATGCATGTTTGACTCAAATTGTATTATTTTATAATTAATATTTATGGAGAAGTCAGATGCTAGCCATTGATGAACCCAGGTTGAAAGGAAAATATAGAAACCTCTTATCTGTTGTGGCATTAGTATGAGTTGTAGTAGTAGCAGCAGTTTTCTTTCTTTCTTTTTTTATTAAAGATTGTTTTCATTATCTTCTGTAGTTTTATAATTGTATTCTAGACCTGCTACTATCAGTTTGCTCCCTTTCCTACAGAAAAGCCAAGGATGGAAAGTGCAGTTTCAGCTGTTGCGTCTCTTCCCCACCCAACCAGTACACGCTTTATTGCTTATGAAGAACTTAAAGAAGCAACAAACAATTTTGAACCAGCAAGCGTACTTGGAGAAGGAGGTTTTGGTAGAGTTTTTAAAGGTGTCCTAAATGATGGAACTGCTGTTGCAATTAAGAGACTTACTAATGGAGGGCAACAGGGTGACAAAGAGTTTATGGTTGAGGTTGAGATGCTTAGCCGATTGCACCATCGTAACCTTGTAAAACTAGTGGGATACTATAGTAATCGTGACTCATCACAAAATCTACTTTGCTATGAGCTTGTCCCAAATGGAAGTTTAGAGGCCTGGCTTCATGGTAATGTAATTTCTCAAATTATGGCTTCAGCTTTTTAATCTTGATGTTACATGCTTTGCTTCTTCTATTGTTGCACTGCTAGTTGTTCCAGATATGGTTTTATTATGCTCAATTTAAATTGCCCCTGATTTGCCCCAGGTCCCTTGGGTATAAATTGCCCTTTGGATTGGGACACTAGAATGAAGATCGCGCTTGATGCTGCAAGAGGACTTGCATACTTGCATGAAGATTCACAGCCCTGTGTTATACATCGAGATTTCAAGGCATCCAACATATTGCTTGAGAACAACTTTAATGCTAAAGTTGCAGATTTTGGTCTTGCAAAACAGGCACCTGAAGGCAGAGCTAATTACCTATCTACTCGTGTCATGGGCACATTTGGGTTAGTCTCATTCTATTCTTTCTTATACTTGTTATTTCCATTTAATTTAGATTTAAGATGAAATGAAAATATTATGTAGGTATGTAGCTCCTGAGTATGCGATGACTGGACATCTACTTGTGAAAAGTGATGTTTATAGTTACGGAGTTGTCTTGCTGGAACTGTTGACGGGAAGGAAACCTGTGGATATGTCACAACCAGCTGGACAAGAGAACCTTGTTACTTGGGTTAGTTCGATGCCTTGACACTCCCACATTATTCAGTACTTTAATTTCAAACCTGGTTTCTGTGTTTTCTATTGGAAATATTTAAGAGATTGAACTTAAATCTGTCGTTTGGAGTTCTTACATTCTATAGACAGTAATTTTCTAAATTATACTTTTCAGTCAAGGCCAATTCTTAGAAATAAGGACCGGTTGGAAGAACTTGCTGATCCAAGGCTTGGGGGAAGGTACCCAAAGGAAGATTTTATCCGTGTATGCACAATCGCTGCAGCCTGTGTTGCTCCTGAAGCAAGCCAAAGACCCACAATGGGTGAAGTGGTACAGTCACTTAAAATGGTGCAGCGCGTCACAGAATATCATGATCCCATGTTAGCCTCATCCAATACACGGCCCAACCTGAGACAATCCTCTACCACTTATGAGTCTGATGGGACATCTTCAATGTTTTCTTCGGGTCCTTACTCTGGCCTAAGTGCTTTTGACTATGACAACATTTCTAGGACAGCTGTTTTCTCTGAAGATCTTCATGAAGGACGATGAAGGTACTCACTCAGAAAGGCAAGCTAACTACGAATATGCACTCGACCCTTAGGGTTTTTCATCATAATTTAGAAAACTTTTTCTTTCTCATGGATGAAGGTGGAACCATAACCGCAGGAATTTTCTTACAAGTGATTAAAGGTTTCTTGGTTTTTCTTTTTCTTTTTTTTTTTGGGTGGGAGGGTGGTTTTCTGTGGTCGCTTTTGCTATCATCCTCCGTTGTAAATCACCATCCTGTTTTACCCTAGGAGAGTGGTTCCACATGTGGATCAAATTTTGTACATATGTGCAGCATTGTAGTTTGACTTCATATTGGCTTCAAAAGCCTTTGTAATTCTAATTATAGGTTCACTATCATCATATTCAATGATGCTTTATGGGCCGGGCTCCTCTCTCTTTAGGCGGTCTTCAGGGTCAAGGGAAATATGCGGTCTATAGCCTCATTTCATTAAATTTTACCAGGTCAACCTGTCGCTTTCTATTTATGTAACTTTGCCACATTCAGTTATCAGGAGCACAAACTCTTCTTACATGTGGAATTGTTATTACCGCTAATATGCTCAATCTAATGAGAGCCAATGATCAATAACTAAACTTTGCCAAAATTCGAGAATAAAAACCCCCTATCGATACTTCAGCTCATTGCAGCCTGAGTTTCTGTCTCTCTCCCTTTGTCTCTACTCTTAGAAAACTTTCCAAAGAGAAGAGACAATGGATTTCAGGTTCAATAAAAGCCTTCTCCTCATCTTGTCCCTCTCTTATCTCCTCGTATCCAGCAATGCCATCCCTTTAACTCGCGTTCTTCACATCCCTCCCGTCGGCTCCCCAACTGTTGCACCACACATGGACCTGATAGACGGCATCATGAGTCTAGCAGCTAAAGCTGTCACGAAAATCAGTCCTCAGATCTCAAAATTCTGCACTGGCACCGAGAACCCAACCCTTTGTGCTCAAACCATTGCCCCATTCCTGGATGGTTCTTTTGACCCCATCAAGGCTCTTGAGACTCTTGTCAATGCTACCCTCAATCACACAAGGAAAGTTTGTGGTACCATCACCAAGTTGATCAACGACCCAAGCACCTCTAAGAATGCCCTTGATGCCCTTGGCATCTGCAAGAGTCAGTATGATGATATCATGGATACCGTCAAGGAAGCAATAGAGTTAATAGAACAACAAAATGTGGTGGATGCTTATTACAAGTTCAGCTCTGTGATTGGAGACCAATCTTCATGTGAGGACGCTTTTAATGAGTCTCCTGGGGTTAACATGCCCTTCGCTAAGGATTCACAAACTCTATACCAGTTGGGAGGCAATTGCCTGGCCATCATGGACGGGATAGTTAATAATAGCAAGTTGTAAATTCAGTATGCATTAAAATATGTTGGAGATCATGGGAGAGGGACGTGGTGAGGTGTTTCATCATTAACCACGTTTTTTGTACCCTTGTCATATTAAAATAAGTTATTATGCATGGTTTCTGATACTTTTTTCCTTCATTATGGAACGTTTGTTTGATAATATATACATATGTTCTTAGTTAGAGCGTATTTTATTTTGCAAAAATGGGTAGAGCACATTCCCATTAGATACTGGTGTAATGTGCATGTCGCCCGTTTGTACTGGATCAATAAAACTATTCATCAGGCAAAAGTCAATCCCTCCAATCCAATTCCCGGGCTGTGTGTATATTGAAACAACTCATTACATTCTTTTACCCATTTGGCATTAACAACTTACACATTTAAACAAATATAATTGAACTCATTATGTATAACAAATGTGAGAAGAATGAACCATTTAATTTATGGGTAAATTTACCGGAGATAAGTTATTTTCAGTAACTCCCAAAACTATGTCGTTTTGAATTAATGAAGGGTATTTATATAATTTTATTTATTTTTTATCATATGTGAAAGGTATCAGACTCAAAGAGAAAGAAGATAAAGAACAAGAGAAGAGAGAGAGAAGGAGCTAGCTCTAAACTACTTGCATTTGATTAAGATGATAAAATGAATACACTGTACATGTACGAATGAGCTTGGCCCTTATATATACACAGTTGATGTAACTAATACTGAGAATAACTAATTAACAAATTTTGTTAGATCACAACAGAATCTGATGGGCTTAGATTTAGTTGGGCCTTAGCCTTATGGCTTTCATCCCCCCACAAGCTGAGTGGGCTTGGAGGCCAAGATCCGAAGCTTGGATCTGAAGTCGAGGAAAGGAGTTGTTGAGATGGCTTTGGTAAGCCCATCAGCAATCTGGTCAACGGCTGGTACATGGTGCACAGATATTGCCTTGGAGATAACTTTTTCACGCACAAAGTGTAGATCGAGCTCAAAGTGTTTTGTGCGAGAGTGAAATATGGGATTTGCAGTGAGGAGAACAGCTGAGAGATTGTCACAAAAGAGAGTAGGAGAACGAAGAAGTTGAATGCAGAGTTCGAAGAGGAGAGACTGAATCCAGGTGAATTCGGCAACAGTAGCGGCTAAACAGCAGTACTCTGCTTCAATACTGGAGCGACTGACAACGTGCTGTTTCTTAGAGGACCAGGTGACCAAGTTAGAGCCAAAGAATATACAGTAGCCACTTGTTGAACGCCGATCATCAAGATCTGAGCCCCAATCTGAGTCACAGTAGGCTGTGAGATGGAAGTTCTGTGAAGGAGTGATAGTGAGGCCATGCGAAGGAGTTCCACTCAGGTAACGAAGAATCCTCTTTACAGCTTTCCAGTGAGTGTCTAAAGGATTGTGCAGGAACTGACATACCTTATTTACACATAAAGCAATGTCCGGTCGAGTAATGGTGGCATATTGGAGAGCTCCAACAATTGATCTGTATTGAGCTGGATCAGGATGTGGAGAACCATCACGAGAGGAAAGCTTGGTACTTAATACCATTGGTGAAGGCATGGATTTACAGTCCACCATGTTTGCTTTCTTTAGGAGATCCAAAATGTATTTGGTTTGACTGAGATGGTAACCTCCAGAAGGTATTTTTTGAGCTTCGATACCTAAGAAATAGTGGAGTTGTCCAAGGTCTTTGAGGGCAAATGCTTGATTGAGAGACTGAATCAACAACTGAATGGCTGATGAGGAGGATCCTGTTATGATTTATCATCAACATATACCAGTAAAAAGGTAGTAGTTGTCTGAGTTATAGAGATGAATAGGGAGGAATCATGATAACTCATATTTTGTTACACTTATTTATTACTCTTGGTTGGTTTTTTATGATTTATTTGAATTAAATAAAGGTCTTTTGGGTCAATTCACAATTCTAGATTTTAGTTGGGTTTAATTGATTTTCGTCATAATTTTCCAGATTTACACTACATCCGTATTTTGACCATATCTCACTCTACAGATGTCCGATTGACTCCGTTCTTATTGCTTTTTGCAGCTAACAGATAGGGCTACAATCGCGATTTCAGCTACTGAAGCCCAATTCGGACGAGAAGATGGTCTAAACTTGATCTCAAGATGACGTGTTTTGCTGGAATTTTTTTTTGATGTTTGAACTTGTAATTCACATTAGGACCCAATGTGTTTAGGGCCCAAGGCCATGTTTTATTGTTTTATTTTATTTTATTTAGCTTTTATTTTATGTTTGGGCTGAAGCGGTGAAACCCTAGCCGTCCTGCGTGACGGCTATTTAAGGGAGACTCTAGGAAACCCTTCAGCGGTCAGTTTTTACAACAGAAAAGTTCTCTCTGAGTTTTTATTCAATTCTGTTCTTCATCTTTTTCTTCCTCTTCTTTTTATTTTAATCATGTTTACCTTAGCCATGCGAGGCTAAGAACCTTTTAATCAACCTAAGGGTAATGGATTCCATGGATTAGTCTTGAGGGTCTGCGTTTATTTCAAATCAGTTTTCATTTCCCTTCCAAACTCAGATTGATATCGTGCGATCGTGGATATTCAATCTGAGGTTCGCGATTGCGATTATGGAAAGGGATTAATCATCATAATTGATGGTTAGATTGATTGACCCTATGACCTTAAATCAAACAGGCTGATACTCTACGATTGTATGAGTAGAAGCACCGTATTTGATCAAATGCTAAGCGATCGCTTAGAGAGGGTTGTCAATTAGAAATAAGGATTCTGATTCGATTGACGATCAATCACGATTTTGATATCTTTTTATCCGAGGAAAGACGTCCATGGAACCCTAACCTTAGGTTGGTTAATTTTTAATTACGAATTTTTATTCCAAATTTATATTCTGCCTTTTTAATTATTCAATCAAAATCCAAAACCCCTCTTTTAATTTTCTGTCATCATAAGCGATTTTTACCAAAACAATTTCCTTGAGAGACGACTTAGGGTTTCCACTTTACTATAAATTTTCTGAACCCTGATAAAAAATAATTTTTAATTTGCGCGAGTTCGACAGCTCGTGTCAAATTTGGCGCCGTTGCCGGGGAAATTGCATCGGTCTAAATCGTTTTCTGATTCTTGATCATTTTCTTCTTCTTTAATTTTCGTTTCTGTTTCTAAAAAAAAAAAAAAAATCTTCAATTTTCATTTTGATTTTTCTTTTTCTGTTTTTGTTTCTATATATATATACTTTTTATTCTGATTAGTGAATATTAATAGTAGATTAGATTTTGTTAGTATTTTGATTAGATTAGACTAGATTTTATTTTCAATCATTCCTAATCTTTTGATTCTTTTAAGATTTTCTTAGATATTGTTAGATTATATTATATATATATATATATATATATATATATATATATATTGTTAGATTTTGATTAGATAAATTAGATTTTGTTAGATTTAGTTTCCTTTTATTCTTAAATTTTTTTTCCATTTTTTATTTTATTTTATTTTATTTTTATTGTTATTTTTATTTTGGTTCTTTTTGCTCTTTCTTTCCTTTTATTTTCTTATTTTTTTTTATTTTAATTTTTTTCCTAATTCTTTTTATTTCTTTTTATAATTTAGGAAGTTTTGTTATAATTTAGAAAGTTTTGGTCACAATATAAAAAAACATGGATAATAGAAGCTTAAGGCAATTGACTGCACCTGAAGTTAACTATCAGTCTTTTTGCATTCGTTATCTTGATACTGGTTTTAAACTTAAGTCTGGTCTTATCCATTTGCTTCTAAAGTTTCATGGTCTTGCAGGTGAAGATCCATATAAGTATTTGAAAGAGTTTCATGTAGTCTGCAACACAATGAAACCGCAAGGAGTTGATGAGGAGCAGGTCAAACTGAGAGCCTTTCCTTTTTCCCTCGATGGAGGAGCTAAGGATTGGTTGTACTACATTCAACCTTCATCTATCGAGACTTGGAATGACATGGCCAGATTGTTTTTGGAAAAGTTTTTCCCGTCCTCAAGAGCCACTTCAATCAGAAAGGAGATAAGTGGCATAAAACAAGCAAATGAGGAAAACTTGCATGAGTACTGGGAGCGGTTTAAAAGACTTTGTGCAAGCTGTCCACATCACTAGATTCCGGAGCAATTGCTGATTGTCTACTTCTATGAAGGATTGATACATATGGATAGGAACCTGATTGATGCTGCCAGTGGAGGAGTTCTTGTTGACAAAACACCCAATAAAGCTAAGACGTTGATCTCAAACATGGCTGCAAATGCTCAACAGTTTGGAACGAGAGCCAATAGCAGTGCTGTGTACCAGGTGCAAGCAACTCCGGCCCAGCCTTCAGCAGTGGCATCAAGTGCTGACAATCAGCGAATTGAAAATAGACTTGATGAATTGGCAACCATGGTGAGACAGTTGGCAGTTACCCAGACAGTCCATACTTCTGCTCCACAGTTCGGAAATCCATGTGGCATATGCAATGACCCTTTTCACCCCACTGATGCTTGCCCTTCTCTACAAGAGGACTCCATTCCTGCAGACCAGTCAGTAGCTGCAGTCTTTCCTGGGAAACCACAGTTCCAGCAGCAGCAGAATAATCCATTCTCCAACACTTACAATCCTGGATGGAAGAATCATCCCAACCTCAGATGGAACCAGAATCAGCAAAATGTTCCATATCAGCAGAGTCAACAAAATTTTCCATACCAACAGAAGCAGCAGTTCATTCCACAGCAGAGACAGAACTTCCAGCAACCTGCTCCCCAACAGTTGCAACAACAACCACCAGTGCAGCAGCAAAACAGTGGCAGTGGTCCTTCTTTGGAGGACTTAATGAAACAGATGGCCACTGTTAGAATATTAGATATGATATGATTAGATATGATTGGATTCCGTCTTATCCGTAAATATTCTGACTGTATTCTGACTGTATTAGGATTAGGTTTGAGCCTTTCACTTAAGCCCATTAGGGTCTCTATATATTGTAACTCTCTGACATAGTTCAATACACAACATATTATTTTATATTCAAGTTGGTATCAGAGCTCTTTCGTTCTGGGAACCCTCGCTTCCGCTTAGAAATCTTGTTCTTTGCTTTAAAACCTAAGCCCACTACTTAGGAGTCCTCTTTCTTGCCGTGCGTTCTTCCGGCAAGCCTTCTAGGGCTGTAAACAGCCTCTGAGTGATTTTTCCAAACGCATCAGCACCTCCGACGGCCACCGGAACCACCGCCCGCCGTCAGAATCACTGTTCAGGCAACCGGAGACTTTTTTCGGCGACTCTTCCGA